TAATATAATTTTTTGAAAAAAATATGTATAAGAAATAAAAATTTAAATTATTATTTATTTTATTATATTTATATAATAAATCAGAGATAAGTGTTTGAATTTATGGGGGGTATATTTTCCCCCCAAATGTCCCACACCCAACACACACTCCACCCCTCCCTCCCAAAATTTTAAAAATCCAACACACACACTCCACAACATACAATTGTATATACATACATACACTTTAACACAAATATTCTAATACATGCATAATACTATAATTTATTGTACAATGACTTTAATTACGAGGTATCGCTAATAGATATATAAGTTGGTTGGCATGTTATGTACATCTTTTCATGCTTTTTCTTCTTATCCATCTTTCATGCTTTTGCTTAGTGAAGTCAAAAGGTGTTTTCTTATTTTATATAAAGTAATCCATTATTGCAGATCTTGAGTATTTCCTAGATCACACTTGATTGTTAGGCATTGCCTCTTCTTTTATTGTCCAGTGTGTTACGTTTACATTTCTCAAAAGTGGAGAGATTTGACCCATAAGACCACAAGGCCTTCTTTGGTCGAGGAATTTCGACATGGTATTATGGTTTTTCTTTTTTGAGCTCGAGAAGAACTATTTAAATAATATCTCATGCTAGCATGACCCGTGCGATGCTCAGGATTTTTGTCTAATAAATTTTTCCTCTAACATATTATTAGAATTTAATTCAATTAAAAAACAATATCTTAATTTAATTAAAAGAGAATCTCTTAGTTTAGTTAAAAGACAATCCTTTTTGTGGCGTTCGTTAAAATTGAAATCTGAACACTGAATACTGAATTTTATGTGCTGAAAGTTGAAGTTTTAATTCATGGGCTGCTTGGTATCCATTAAAATTTAAGTACTGAATTGAATTAAACTGTTTAATAACTATAGAGAGCTGATATTTGAAAATAAATTAATTTTTAATTTTATCATTTTACGCTTTACTTTGATAAGAACCAAACTCTTTGATAACTATATAGACAGGGCGAAGCTAAGTTTGATCTAGGGTGGGGCATGTGCCGCCCTCAAATTTTTTTTTATTACCTATGTATATATATTTTATATTTGTATAATATATCATTTGTGTACACCCAAAAACAAAGATAAAAGTATTATGCCCACCACTATCCACCCAAAAGAATTAAACAACCAAACTTACTTAAAACAAAACAAAACAAAACAAAACAAAAAAATCTAGGCCAACCACTGCTTAAAACCAAAGACTTGAAGTTAGTACATGACCCGATTGAATGCATTATTATTTTTTTTTCTTAATATTACTTATATATTTTTTAAATATTTTTATTTATGTCCACCCTATTTTTTGACATATCAATTAGTGTACATTTATATCAAATGAATATGAATTTTTTGACACATTTTAGACATGTTATGTACATATCTAGATAAATTTTAAATATACTAAAATTATTTTATACTTTCTAAGACTAAAAAATACATGATACACATATTAGTTAGTTTACTTATGATTTTGACATTTATTTTACTAATTGCAATAGACGTTATAGATTATTCATTGAACTACATAATTGAATGAGTGATAAATATAGAAGTGATAACACGATTATGTGTATAAAGAATAATAAAATTGTTATGCAATTATTTCCAACAATAAAAATTCACCAAAGTCAATTCTAAATAATTTTAATCTGTGTATATTTTGTAAAAAGATATAATTAATCTTTCTTTTATTATTGTAATTTGTATATACTAGGCTTACTAATTTTTGGTCAATTGGGTTTAGTGAATTTTAAGTATTAAATATGATGTAATTAAAAATAAATTATTTTCTTATTTCTATCAATTGTAAAAAAAAATATTTAGTTTATTAAAATATTTGTGCCCACCCTGACACGATTTTTTTGCTCCACCCCTGTATATAGAGCTGACATCTGAAAATAAATTAATTTTCAATTGTTTGTGTGTGTGTGTGTTTTTAGGGAAATTGACGATTTTGAAGAAAATAACACTTAGAGTATGTGTTGGATTGCGGGTTAAAAGGGGGAAAATACCAATAGGATAGGAAAAAAAAATATGTGAGGTCCATTTATCTCATGTTTGGTAAGCAAAAAAGTGCATGAAGAATTTCACTCGCGTTTATCCCAACTTGATTTAAAAAGTCAAAGTTAACATGTCTATGTGGGTTAAATGAAACTATGGGAGAACTGGAATATTTTTACACACGGAAGCCATACATTTGTCTGTTAATATATGGTGTTAATGGTTACAATATATTCATAAATGTTTATTTTATATTGTAATGAGTTGTAAAAATAATTGATATAAAAGTGTATTTTTTTGCTTATAATAGAATGGGGGATAATTTATAAACCAAATATGGTAGCGAATTTCACAAGACACGGGTATAATAGTCGATGACAATATAGTACATCACTCTTATCCATGGGATTTACAAAAGTGTTATGAGCTACCCAAACAATGTAAAGGGTTGGACATACTCATTTATATCCAATTCACTCCAAGTCAGTGTGGATTTGGGTTGGATAGTAAATGATATTTTTTTAGATATTCAATTCACTTCAACTCAGCCATCCAACACACACCTTTAAAGTTTTAATAGGAATGTGAAATATTTCAGGGGTAAAATTATCATATTTAAAAAATTATAAAAGATGCTCTTCTTGAGCACTTTCAATTTTCAGAATAAAGAAAGATATATTCTACTTAATGTTTTAACCTATTTTTAAGGAGTACTTAATTTATTAAAGAGAACTCAATATGGTCCTAACATTTATTGTGACTCACTACCTATTCAATAGTTGAAATTATCAAGTCTAGTTTTTAAGTCTATCTAGCATGACCCATATTAGTTATCAAACAAACTTAATTAATAAGTGCTTAAAACTCATAATATTTAATATTTTAAGTATTTCTTAAAAAAAGACTAAAATTTTAAGTAGGAAGCCACCTACTCATCACTTAATGTTGAAAAAGTTAGTCTGTGAGAATTTTATTTATTTCTTATAATGGACAAATATACCCTCACTATCATTGTGTTATTGCTACCACCACCACCATTGTACCATCGCCACTACCACTATCACCATCATCACCGCCACTAATACTATTGTGCCACTGTCACCATCACCATCACCATTGTCGCCATCACCACCACAACCATTGCTGCCACCACCTCCTCTACCACCATTCCCACCACCGTTGTCACAGTGTCACCGTCACCACTATTACCATTATGTCACCATCACCACTACCATTGTGCCACTGCGATCGCTACTACCACTACCACTGTCATCGCCCCCATCACTACCATCGCCACAATTGTGCCATTGCCACCACCACCATTACTACCACAGCCACCACCAACACCATCGCCACCACCACTGTCACAAATCATCACTATTACTACTATCATTGTGTCATCGCCGCCACTACTATTACAATGTTGCCGCCATCACCACCATCACCATTATTATCGTTGTTGCCACCACTATCATTGTGCTATCACCACCACAGTCGCCTCCACCACTACCACCACTATTTGCGATGATGATGATAGGAATAAGGCAACTATAGAGAGATGACTAAAGAGAATGACAAAATTCGAATATTAATAATTTTCATAATTTAGCTCCTTATATTTGTCAAACAATTTTATTAAATTTAATACTTAAATTTCAGTTGATATAGTCTGCAAATTAAAAAATTCAACATTCAACACTTAAAATTCAGCATTTAATTTTAAGTATTATTAAACACCACCTTAATCTAAGTAAAATAAAATATTTTAATTTAATTAGGAGACAATTTTTTAATTTAATTAACATAAAATCTTCTAATTTAGTTAAAAAATAGTGTTTCTCAAAGAAGATAAGAGTTCTGATAAAAAATGGTGGCTTAGTTTCCTCTAGATCGATTTAATTTCCATAATTCACAGTAAATTTTAAATTCCTATATTATGGACTAACATTTTTTTTTTCAACAAGAGGGATGACTTTTTTTTTTTTTTTTTGGTTTAACGATAAAGGGTGTCCGGACTATTTTACGCATATTTCGATTAATTTCCTCCTCAGTTCGGTCAAAGACAAGTCATTCATGTCGAGAATAAGATATTTACGAAAAATAAATTTTTCATATTCTAAATCCAAAAAATTACTAAAATTCGAACTCGCCTAAAAAAAAGGAGGACTTTTGATCTGTCGTGGGTGGTGGTCTGTGAGTCCTCGTGCAAATACACCACCAATCTTAAGCGATAAACACTTTAGACTCAATTAATATTGATTTTTATATACAATATCTGTAATATTATTATAATTATAAGTGTTAACTATTTATTTGGCTCTTGCATTATACCATTTGTATCAATTAAGTAATTGAATTATGTTTTTTTATGTAGATTTAACCTTTGAGTTTACAAATTGGACGAAAATCCCCATATACACATCAATGAGTCAGGAATTAGGGTATAATTCAGGGGCCATACAATGTGCACGTGAAGATTTTGGTCAAAATTAATAGAGAAATTGGACAAAAGGTGGTCACGTTAAGTCAAATTACATAGTTTTAAGGTTAAATCAACACAGAACATAATTCATATGCTCGATTGCTATAAATAGTATAACTTAAGAGCCAAATAAATAGTTAATCCTAATTATAAAATAATATCCAAACAAAACTTGAGGTTTACACGCACGTAATTGTTACACGCATGTAAACTTAAGAGGTGACAAGTGTAATATTTTGAATTTAATAGGTATAAGTATTATATACTAATAGATTTAATAGGGTTTGAATGTAATTTATTAATAAATATATAATAATTTAAATATTAAGGAACCTAGTAATTAACCGACAATCGTTAAGAAATTTGGATATAATTTTTCCAAAGTCTTAACATAGATTCTACATTTCTACTTGACGCGAGTAACGGGACCCTTGACGAGGTAACTCTTAACGGGCAAAGTCTTCCCAACTCTCTCTCCGCCCTCTCGGACAAATCAATACTCGGAAACAGGGCAAGGTAATCTACTTTCGCTGGTCTGAGTCGCTAGCTGTGGAGAAGAAAATGGCTGTGGGAAGAGAAGAAGTAGAAATAGTGAAGCCTCGTACGGACAAAAGAGAGTATCGAAGAATTGTCCTCCAAAATTCTCTCCAAGTCCTCCTCATCAGCGATCCTGAAACCGATAAGGTCTGAATAATTGCTTCAACGTTTTGGATTTTAGTTTTTTTTTCTTTTCCATGATTAATTTATCCGATTGAAGTTATTATCATTTACACACTGAGAAAGTAATTCGTTTAAAAAATCCGTTATGTGTTTTTTTTCGTTCAGTGTGCTGCTTCAATGAATGTCGGTGTTGGTTCTTTCAGCGACCCCGAGGGTTTAGAAGGCCTTGCTCATTTTCTCGGTAATCATTTTCACATAAATTTCGCAGTCTTGAAGTTTTTGAATTATTGGTGATGGTCCAATATAAACACTCCTCTTTAAGAAATTAATAATGTTTCTGGAAAACATTGGTTCATTTTATGAGCTTCTTACACGTTACTGTGATGCAAACACATGATGAAATTGTCGATTACATTTACGTTGTCAATTACTAGATGGACCAAAACACATTATGTTTTACTTTGATGATCATCCTCGTATACGTTTTCAATTACTAGAGTGGATCAAGTAGTTAGATTAATTGAGTTGGTATTCGATTTCGATCAAAAGCATGGATTCCATGCACTTAGATGCAGTTTTTTTCGATCTTCTTACTTGTTTCTGATAGTAACATAGTATATATTATGGCAAAGTTGAAGATAACCCATGTGGATTTTTGCAGTTATTAGCGCATAAAAGATTAGGCTAGTAAAATAGAGAAGTTGTTAGGGATCTTTATTGACTTTCTATTTTTGTTTGTTATAATACATTTGGTGATCAATCGTTGACTGTGGATCAAGAAGGCACGGATGGGCCTCATAGTTGCTCCCTTGTGAATTGAGTTTTAACTGCTATTTCCCATCTGAAAGTTACTCTGTTTTGAAGCAGTGACTTCAATTTTAACTTGCTGTGGCACATACCATGTCTACATAGGATTCGATGTTGATTTTTTGTTACTTTTGGTCTTTACATTTGCATTGGCCTAGCTGACTCACTTTGAAAATGAATTTTACATTGGTTTAATGAGATAATTTAACTTTAATTGGTCCAGCATTGTCATTTATCCATTTTATTTTGTGGTTAAGGAGTTACTTAAGTAATGTCAATGGGATGGACCAATTAAGTTAAACTATCACAGTAACACCATGTAATATTCGGTTTACCTGGTTATTTTGTCCACTATAACATGTCTTACAAGCATCTCTCATCTTTTTATGAAACATTTTGGATGGTTTAATGTTACTCTAGAATCTTTTTCTCCACCGGGGAAGGAGTCGTGTGATTTCTTCCTGGGCAATTGCTTGTTCAAAGTTACATGTTGATTCTTAATATGTTTGCTTTCAGAGCATATGCTATTTTATGCAAGTGAAAAGTATCCCTTGGAGGATAGTTACTCAAAGTACATTACCGAGGTACCTACTTTTTATCGCATGGTATTGAAGTATTACTCCTGTTGATGTTCTGTGTTGGATGTGTTTTTCTTTTTTTCTTCCAGAGAGAGGCTTTACAGATTCTTGTTTTGAATAACTATCCCTTTTCTTGTAGTGATGCAGCTGGAGGTTTGTCCAGGGTGACAGCCCCTTCTAATGAACCTTTATGATTGTGAATTTGGACACTTAATAGCAAGTCCGAATAGAAGTAGTCACACATGAATTTTAAGTGAAGTAACAATATAGCAGCAAAGAAAGTACTGCTGAATTTTCTTAAAAGCATGAAAATTAATGACTGGCTTGAAAAATATTACCAAGTAGCATGAAGAGCCCCACATAATTTGTATATGAAATTGAAGAAACTAGAAGTCCTCTGCAAACTTTGAGCCACGGGTGTTATGCTACTATAATTGATGCTGATTGATCAGTCCTTATAGTCTGGATTAGGAATAGTTATGGCAGCACAGTCATTTGGTTTGGGACATTTTTTATTTTATTTATCTTTGTGGATGTGGAATTCACATTGGGTTTTGAGCAATTTCAGAAGCTGGTTCCTAGGGTAAAAGAGGAGCTGTGTGTTCTTAAACTTTTAATGGACCCTTTCACCCTTTCTAGGAGTGGTGGTCTTTAGAGATTGTTTACTGTTGATGGTTACTCTTGGTTCATTATATTCAAGGATCAAAATTTTGTTTTGGTGTATTATTTCAGTCACCTAAGAAATAGAAATATTTCAATATGTTTCGAAAACGTTTCGACCCATTTCGAAAACAGAATGAAAAAAATAGAAAATTTAAGAATTATTTTTTCAAAATATTAATCGAAATATATCAAAATATCTTGAAATACCTTGGAACATTCGGAAATAATTGTGAAAGTGCATTGAAATATAATAAAACATTTTGAAACATTATGGAACACCTCAAAGTATTAGAATCTCAATTTTATCATTGATTCGTTTCGGTCTTCTTGGAAACAGAAACATTTCAGATGTATCGATCGTTTCAAAACGATATTTGATCCTTGATTATATTTTTTTGAATTTCTTCTTGGAGGGTGTGATTTCTGTTCTTTAAGCAACGATGAGGTATCTGTGCAATTTTACGCCACTTGAGCAATCAATTCAGGCAAATGAATTCACCCCCCACCCCACTAAAAAAAAAAAGTAAAAAATTCTTTGATTGAAGGATGCACTATCCTTCTTCTTTCTCTTTTCCATTTGCCACTATAAGGGATCTCTTGCTCTATCCTTGTGTGGTCCATCAAAAAGAATATAAGCATAGATATATTGCGAAGTAGGCAATATGCGAGCTGGGTAAAAGGTGAAGTTCAAAAGATCTCAGGAAGAGTAGTGAGAGTGGAATGATTGAGAACAATGGCTAGATAAAGATGGGCAGGAAATTTAGATGTTGTTGCGTAGAAAACCTGCCCGGTTGGAAGGGTTACTTGTCCTTTTTTCTTCACAGTATTTGCACTTTGCCAGCAAAACAGAAGAATTAGGGTAGGAGATGATGATGGCTCTGGCTAGGCCTCTTGTGCCCATTTCTGTGTTTCTCTAAATTTCTTCCAGATTTGTGCAGGGTGTAGCCTGGAATTTTGTAGTTTATGCACTTTGTCTGATTTATTCCTTTCATGGTGTCATTGTGGGGGGAGGGTGTGTTTATTTTTGGTGAAGGATTGTTTGTTGGCAATACTAGGAGGGCCTGGAGGTGGATTTTGCAAATTTTAGAACATGTCTCTTCCTTTTCTTGCCCCTCTTACCCAGAGTGGTTATTCATGACAGAAGTATATTTATTGAAAGTAAAAAGAAAAGAAAAGAAAAATCTTTGGTCATATATTTCTGATCAAGGTTTTCACTAGAATGGTTTGAGCAGACCTTCTTATGAGACATTTTAACAATTAACTCAGTTTTTTTTCCAATTTGTTTTCTTTTTTCTGACATTAGTACAACTCAAACCATAGGTTTATTTCATTTGTAAAATTTATGTTTATGTATTCTTTCTTTTTCCACCATTTTCTTCGTCTTGTGCTTTTCTTAGTAAATATTTTACCGTTTTATGCTATTACATGTATATAATTCATACATATTTGCATGTTGCTTTGAGTAATGAGTGGATTCTTTTTGAGATTGCTGACTCAAAAAGTAATAATTTTCTCTTTATGTGGTTTCTATTCTTGATTATTAGCATGGTGGTAGTGCGAATGCTTTTACATCTTCTGAACACACCAACTATCACTTTGACATCAACACCGACTGCTTTGAAGAGGCCTTGGACAGGTAGATGACATTTTCCTTTCTGTGAATTAGTTCCTCTTTATTTTTCATAAGACCTGTTGGGGGGATGTTATCATGTGGTTTACTCCTCAGATTTGCACAGTTTTTCCTCAAACCATTGATGTCACCTGATGCTACGACAAGAGAAATAAAAGCTGTCGATTCAGGTTGGCCTCATTTTGCGCCAGTTGATGCCTTCATTTCCCATACATCTCGATTATTCTTGATCTCTCTCTCTCTCTATCTCTCTCTCTCTCTCTCTCTCTCTATCTCTCATGCAGAGAACCAGAAAAATCTACTCTGTGATGGTTGGAGAATGAATCAGGTATTGTTATTTTTACACTTACTGTCATTGGTAACTAGGTTTTGGCCTTTTATTATTGCCGGATGGTGACTACGTATGACAACAACCAAAGAGAATCTTTCCTGATGATAGAGTTTAAGCATCATGATTTTTGGATCATAAGTGCACTTGACAATGCATTTGGTACTTCCTCAGGAAGAAGATTCTGGACATGGTTCCAAAAGTCTTTTTGCTCTCTTGGTCTTCTGTATATAAGTGGGGTTGTATGGCTAGCTATACTTCGGTTCACACCCCCGCCTTCTTTTCCTCCTCTTCCTCTTGATACACCTTTATGTATATATAGTGCCCCTTTCTTCTTATTGTCATGCATTCTATAGTCAGAAGAAAAATGTGAGGATGGGACTTGGGAGTTCTTAGGACCATCTTTTCTACTTGGCTTTCATAGATGGACCTTAAGCTGAAAATTATGAGCTATGGTTTTGATATAGATCTTTCTTTCTATTGTTATTCTTCATTACTTCCTGCTTCTTTAAGTCATTAATGAGTCAACACCGGATTTGAATCTTCTCTTATATCATATATGTTATGTGGACTTGATCTTGATTGGGATAATTCAAGGACATCACACTTTACATGAACATATAGATGGCAGGATGGCATTATTCTTCTAGTGAGAACGTCTTGTTCCTCTGTATCTAGTTCTTAGTAATAAAGATTGTGGAGGTTTGGATAACTTGTGAAATTAAGCAATTTTTTTGCTTTATTGGTGTTTAGTACAAATTTCTCTCTCTCTCTCTCTCTCCCTCCCCGCAAAGACCATGGGGCAAATGGATAGATTGGCATCTGCGAAATGTGTGTTGTCATTTTACAATTTGACCAATAAAAAATAGTACATGTTTCTCTAATATTTGATAGCGAATTGGTTCTCAAAGATATTTATTGGATAGTAAGCAACTCTCAAATTGTTTCAAATATAGGAGACTATCTAATTCATAGAGCGTTAATTATTGGGCATACTNTCTGTGATGGTTGGAGAATGAATCAGGTATTGTTATTTTTACACTTACTGTCATTGGTAACTAGGTTTTGGCCTTTTATTATTGCCGGATGGTGACTACGTATGACAACAACCAAAGAGAATCTTTCCTGATGATAGAGTTTAAGCATCATGATTTTTGGATCATAAGTGCACTTGACAATGCATTTGGTACTTCCTCAGGAAGAAGATTCTGGACATGGTTCCAAAAGTCTTTTTGCTCTCTTGGTCTTCTGTATATAAGTGGGGTTGTATGGCTAGCTATACTTCGGTTCACACCCCCGCCTTCTTTTCCTCCTCTTCCTCTTGATACACCTTTATGTATATATAGTGCCCCTTTCTTCTTATTGTCATGCATTCTATAGTCAGAAGAAAAATGTGAGGATGGGACTTGGGAGTTCTTAGGACCATCTTTTCTACTTGGCTTTCATAGATGGACCTTAAGCTGAAAATTATGAGCTATGGTTTTGATATAGATCTTTCTTTCTATTGTTATTCTTCATTACTTCCTGCTTCTTTAAGTCATTAATGAGTCAACACCGGATTTGAATCTTCTCTTATATCATATATGTTATGTGGACTTGATCTTGATTGGGATAATTCAAGGACATCACACTTTACATGAACATATAGATGGCAGGATGGCATTATTCTTCTAGTGAGAACGTCTTGTTCCTCTGTATCTAGTTCTTAGTAATAAAGATTGTGGAGGTTTGGATAACTTGTGAAATTAAGCAATTTTTTTGCTTTATTGGTGTTTAGTACAAATTTCTCTCTCTCTCTCTCTCTCCCTCCCCGCAAAGACCATGGGGCAAATGGATAGATTGGCATCTGCGAAATGTGTGTTGTCATTTTACAATTTGACCAATAAAAAATAGTACATGTTTCTCTAATATTTGATAGCGAATTGGTTCTCAAAGATATTTATTGGATAGTAAGCAACTCTCAAATTGTTTCAAATATAGGAGACTATCTAATTCATAGAGCGTTAATTATTGGGCATACTTCACTACCCCCTTGTAGTTTTGACCTATTTTGCAGATCAGCTCCCTGACATTGAAAAATGTCAACATAATCCTTGTGTGGTTATGGGACTGAAATGCACTGTAAAGTTAGAAGAATTTTTTGAATTGTAATCTATTTCCTTATTAAGATGATTACCCCCAAAAAATTAGTTCTTTTTGAGAAATAGAAAATTTTATTCAGGTTTAAGGAAAATAATGAATTCATATGAATTGTAAAAGATCATAAAAAAATTTATGTATCTGGAGGAAGCTATTATATTAGTTTTTTAAATTTTAAATAAATTGGAATACATCAAAAAACAGTGAACAACAGTGTAGTTGTTTGATGAAGAAATTATAAACAAAAAAATAGTTGGTCTAATGAGAAAGGGTAAATTTGGAATAAGGATTTAATTAATGGGGCTTTGAACAAATTTGGAACAAACTATGAAAAATAGGGCTAGATTATCTTAAAAAAAATATGGTAGGACTTGATGGTTTTTTGTTACGTAACATAGCACTTATTTGGTATTTTTCCTTTTTTTTTACTGACCATCCCAACACAATTTTCTGTAAAATATTTTTTTAAGTATTTTTTTGACATCCAAATAGTGCTGTTATTTAATGGAAGGGCTTTTCTTATAAAGTACTTTTGAATAACATTTATTTAAAATTTTCTTTTTGTATTTCATTAGTTATCCCAAATGACACATAAGTATGGGAGAAGTCGAGTCATGTTATACGTGTGTGCTTTTACATATATGTAGCATTATTTATCTATGCACGTGCATGCAAATTTGTGTCACCTCTTTGCTGTGTAATTGTGTTTGCTGTATCGATGGCTGTTGATATTACGATTCATAAGTGAAAAATTTCATGTCACACTCATTAGATATTATTTGATTGGAAAGGTTGTGTATATACTACACCTTTTTATATATAAAACTATACTATTGGCTGCCATCTCCTTCCTGGGTTTGTGTGCTACTTTATTGGGATTTGCTTGGTTGATGATTCTCTCTCTCTCTCTTTTTTTTTTTTTTTGTGTGTCCATGTTTCCTAACCGTTCAGCATAATAATGACACTGGACCACTTGCGGACAAACATGCAACATTTATCTTTCGATTGGTTAGTTTCAAATCTAGCTAATCTCTCCTAGTAGCATTTTTTGCTTATCTCATTGGCTAAGGAGGTAGTAGCTAAATATTCACTGCCGCTTGTATTGCGGTTTATCCGGTTTCAGTTTATTTTCTTATATCCTATGCGTAGGTTGCTGAATTCTTCCAATATATTGTGCACATCTCGTAAAATATTTTACTTAAATTGTCTGCTTTATCATTCTGTGCAGCTTCAGAAGCATCTGAGTGCAGAAGATCATCCATACCATAAGTTTAGCACAGGTTTGAAATATGATATGTTAATTTCATTGAATTCTAATAGTTTAGCATCAGTTGAATCCATTTAGCTGAGCTCTTGGTATGCATGCTAATTCAGGTTTTTCTTGGTATTGAATTATGTGTTACCTGAATTTTGATGTATAATTCTGATGCTTAACCTTATCTTGGACTTCAGTATTTTTTTTTATGCAATATTGGTTCCCGAGAAAGAAAATAAGGGCTTTTCGATGTTTGCTTGTTTGGTGTTTTGTTTCTAATCATCTGATTGACGAAGCCTTGCATATAATGTCCAAGAGAGATTTTCATTATGGCAATCCCTGTTCTATGTCTTTTATGCTCCATGGTGTTCATTCAAGTGGCTACAATTCAATGGGGTATTCTTTACAAGAAATTGAAATTGAACAGAGAACATAGCTCCTGACTTCGTTTTTTTTGGATAATATTTACTCTATTTAAAGTGCCTAAAAGTGGTGCTTGATCCATGTAGACAAGACATATAGAAAGAGTGTACAAGAAGCATCCAAGAGCTAAGTTCAAGGCAAAAACTCCCTAAAAAGAATACGGACTGCAGGCATGTCATTAATTCGAAAGAATAATTGTTAAGATAAAAATCTTGAGGTTATAAACAGGAAGCTTTGTACCTTCGGAAGATGTGTTTCTTTTTCACAGGGACTACATCATGAAGCATAACAGTCATCCTTTTTGCTTTCTCATTCTCTTCCTTGCCTGGCTGAATCTCCAACTGCTAAACATTAAGTCCCCAAATCTCTGCATAATTTAAGCAATCAGCATTTGCAATAGAGAATGTGTGTAACAACTGAATCTCAGATAAGTTTTCCTCCTCTTTTGATGCATGATTTACAATCTTTGCTGAAAAATACCAATTTAATAAATGAAATAGATTGTTGCTGGTGTAGGAGAATTTTACAGTCCTTGTAGATCGTTTACAGACTTGTGGCAGCATATGTTTCTCATAAAAAAAGAAAAACATGTTTAGGGTTTAATTTCAGGGTTCCGGTTTTGGTTATCAGAGGTCTTGTATCAGTTTTGTAGACCAAGAAATTTGGTGGAAATGAAGGAAAAGATTAAGAGAGGAGAGAGAAAAACCGGCTTATGATTCCCTGCCCCCTCCTTCCAGACCAAGAGTGGCGGGAGTCTCGTGTACTAGGCCACTCTATTTTTTTACCCCCTTCCCAGTCAGGCACCTGAAGTGCCTAAGTAGACTACCTTTTTTTTTCCAATAAAAACATATAAATGAATAGCATATCTACAAGCGCACATGCAGCAACATGCATTTGTATACAATGAAGGTATGCAAATGAAAACAGAGTTACTACATGCGCACATAAGAATTTAATTCTATAGGTGTTCAACATAAAAATAAATACTTCTAAATATTTTTGCCTTTAAATGCATCTTTTTACATGCCGGTGTACTAGTCCATATACTTGTCTAGACAAAATCCCTATAGTTGCATTGTACACATGTATGTATGCTCGTTCAAGTTACCATAGATAAAATGGGTATTTAAAGCATGCAATTCACAGGTCCCGGTCAGTTATAGTTTAAGTTTCACATAAAAGAAAATAAATACTGTTAAAACATTTGACACAAAAACGAATTGGTCATGGGTAGGTCGGCCCATTAATATAAAAATCAGAGTTGGATTTACCTAATCTTGCGATGTGGGATACAAGTTATCTTTACACTTCCCCTCATTTGGGACCCAGGCTCGCACTTGAACTAACAAATCGAATTGAAACATATAGACAAACAGATTGCAGAATTCAAATCAGTGAGATACTTGGCCTACTGGCGAAATAAACCAATTGTAAGAGATTTGACTTGCTAACCTTTGGCGGTCAGCCTTGATATCATGTTAGAGTAAACTAATTGGCTATGGGTGGAGTGGCTGCTCAAATATATAAACTAACCTAAGTTGTGCCTAATCTTTTGATGTGTGATACAAGTTTCTTTCACTATTGCCAAGGAAAATGTTTGTTCATCTTGGAAATGATCTTACATTGAAAATATTTTCTAGTGTGAAGCATTGTTTGTTGAATGCAAATCGGGAAGCAATTGGAAAAATTCAGACCTGGTTCCTTGTTCTCTCTCTCTGTGTCTATATATATATATATATATATATGAGATTGTGCTTACTTATCTATCATACAGATGGAGTGTGTTATCTTGCTATATTTCTTGTAACTTTAGTATTTTTTTCTTCATAAAAAAAAATTCAGCCAAAAATATTGTTTTCATCACCAAGCAACAATGTTGGCATTACTTTACCTCTTTCTATTTTGATTACAATGATGGGTTGAGTGCAATTGGCCCCATTTTCTTAGCTTATTGTGACTTTAGAGTAGGGCCTAAATTATGATCATTCAGCTGTTTCCTGTGAACATAGGTTTAAAAGCAGCTAAATCAAGCAGAAGGTCCTGGGGCATGAAATTCCACTAGATGACTAGAAAGCTCTGACCATTGATTTATTCCTGCAGCTATCTGCTCCTTCCATATGAAAGAAACTATTTGCTGTTTGCCTAGTTTGTAACAGCTATGAAATAGAAAAGTTGGTAGTTCCACCGTGGCTTGTTGAATATAATTGGCTCGAAGATACATCTATGTTTTAGTATGTTATTTCCACACTAATTCCATCTGCAAGAGAATGACCTTTGATATTTTGTCCTTGCTTGATAAAAAAATCAGAGTCACAGTATTCGCCTATTGATGACCTTGAAGTATTCCAATGGAGATCCATAAATTCTGGTGTCATTTGTATATATAAGAGAAAATTTCTTTGATACAGCTCTAGATTTCTATATATTTGTCATAGTTTACATTTCACAAAGTATGTGACACATGCACAGGGAACTGGGATACTTTGGAGGTACGACCAAAAGCTCGAGGGGTGGATACAAGACATGAGCTTCTCAAATTTTATGAAAAATATTATTCAGCCAACCTAATGCATCTGGTTGTTTATGCAAAAGGTAAGCTAATAATTTTGCGAAGATTGATTTATTCCCTGGGACACTCTGGTTAATGTGGATAAACCACTATCATGAACTTTTTTTGTGGGGACATATCCAGAGAGCCTTGATAAAACTCAAAGCCTGGTGCAGAACAAATTCCAGGAAATCAGAAATGCTGATAGGAGTTTTCTTCATTTTCCTGGTCAACCTTGCATGTCTGAATATCTCCAGGTGTTCAATGAACTTGCCTATTTTCCTATTTAAATTCATAGTTAACAAGGAAAAAATTAAGGACGATGCGTTGTGTTAATTTGATGGCACGATGATCTGTGCTGTTTGTTCTTTCTTTCCTTTCTGTCTCTAAATAGGAATCCAAATGTCAAGGGTAAATGAAGCAAACTCAGCAAAAGAATGCAAATGCAAATTCACATCTTGTGCTGTATGCTTCCTTTACCTCTTACAATACAACTAAGCTTCATGAATAGTAAGTCATTTCCAGAAATACATTACAAAACCTTAGCGTGACTGTCACTTGATCTCTGAAGAAGTTGCTGATAAAGTATTTCAAAGATGGTGGCTGCTAGTTTTCCAAAGTCTCCATTACTGCAGTCCTTAATGCTGCATAAAGCCGAAGAAAATTATAAAGTTTTAAATGTGATTGTTGATAAATACAGTAGGCAAGGAGACATCTGAGTTGCAAGTTTGTAGCAGGTAATCTGACATTTGCCAGCTGTAAGAGAGGTTACTAACTTTCTATATGTGGCTACTACATGATTTGGAGATTATTATAATGATAGAAAGACAGTGCTGGAGACACAACAGTATATTTATATTTCTGTAACAATTTTTCTCTTATTTTCTGGACAAAATGGTGTTCTATGTTACATAGTTTTTGCAAAATTGGTATTTCACTCATTCTGAAGCAATTATGCAGCACATGAAATATATAAATAGGGAGTCATGCACAATTCTAAAACAAATGGGACTTGTTGGATGTCCCATTTTTCCCTTAATCTTGATTGGATCGTGGCAAGTGGTTAGATTTTGATAGGAAACTAAATTTCCATTTCATAGAATGAAGGATGCATATTTAAAAATACAGAAAATGGTGGATAAGAAATCCACCCAAAAAAACAAAATACAGAGACAACGAATGACTACAAGCAGCCTGCTTGGTACATGGCTCAAGTCAGATGTCTCCATGGCCATTCTTCAGTTATTATTGATGGAAAGAATTGTAGGAATTAACATTGAAAAGTTTCTCTCAAATTGATAAAATTATTGTGCAAATAGTTTCTGAATAACACTGAAATAATTATTTCTTGTCCTTCTGATTTGGTACATATGATATTCAGATTCTTGTCAAAGCTGTCCCAGTAAAACATGGCCACAAGTTGAGAATTGTATGGCCTATAACTCCAGGCATTCGTTATTACAAGGAAGGGCCAAGCAGGTATCTGGGTCATTTGATTGGTCATGAAGGAGAAGGATCTTTGTTTTACGTCTTGAAAAAGTTGGGTGTGTACCCAACATCCTTTACAAGTTTTGAATTGCCCTTCCTTTTCCCTTTCTTGATTATAAGTTCCACATGCTGAAAAGTTTAGAACCTGCTTTACTTTCAATATTGAGGTGCTGATGTGATCATACTGTCCTGTTGGAGTATAAGAGAATATTTTAGTCTGTTGGATCTAGGCATTATAATTTGTATTGTCCTCAGGCCTTTTGCCAAGTTGTTTGTATAAACATGACACTTTTGTAGATCTGAAAGCATCTCCCTTTCGTATGATGAAACCCTATGTAGGACCCAGTCTTCAATTTTTTACACAGTTTGGAATGGATTTGTGAAATCAGAAATTACAAAGTTATTGTGGGGATTGTTTTGTGGGATATAATGACTCCACATGCATATTTTTCTGTTCACTTTGACGTGCCTAGTTTGTACTGGTGGAGATTTTTTTTTTTTTTTTTTTTGTTTTCTGATTTCTTTTGAACATCAAAAATAGAATGGTGATTTCTGGCATAGTATTATGTTATACCGTCTATGGCTCTCAGTACTTTGTCATTGTAGAAGAACGAGATAAAATGCGAGTATGTGGGTAAGGTGCAAGTGCAACAGATATGGAAACCTAAATAAAAACGAAACAAAGGTGGGCATTACAAATTTATATTTTTATCGCCTCAACTTGGTTCTTTGCAGAAATGACTGACTGAGGATGCTTAAGTAGGAGTATATTGTTATTTAACGTGGAGATGCTTTTAATGCGATAACTGTAGGCTTGTATAGTTATCGATGAAGCAGCTATGGGATGCTCAGCTATTGAAAAATTGAATAACGGGCTTGAAGTCATCGGTTGGTGATAGTAACATAAAATCCTAGAAAGGATAAACTTGGGAATTTCCCTTGTTCATAGGGGTCCTGAGCATACTGGTTGAATGACAGTGTTGTACGTTTGAGAACTTGATCTTATTAGTGCACCCAAGTTTTTTCTCGGCTCTGGGCTGGATTACTTGTCTACATACCTATGTCCATTTTTTGTACTTCTTCACTTTTTTCAGTAACAAAATGTTTGTTTCTTTCGGGAAAAAATATTGTACGCAAGTTTAAGGCTGAATTGGTAGTGGAGGAGTGGAGCTTAGGGAAAATGGATATTAAGAATCTATTTAAGACCTTGCCCAAACTATGAAGGAACATACCGTGGCAGAACAGTTAATAGTGCTTTTGTTTCTACCTTGTGAGCTCCAAATTGGTTGGACTAGAAACTTTGGATGAGAATCTTGCATTCTGAAGTTTTTTTTTTGGGTAGGAAACAACAAAATATTATTAAAGTGAAAAATTGAAGTAGTACATGAGAGGACAAGAAGTCCTGCATAGATACATAAGGAAAACAGAAAATGAAAATCAAAACAAGTTCAAACCGAAATTTTGAATTCTGATGTTATGCTAGTGATTTATAACATCCTAATATGTGATACACAATATACAAAGTTTAGAGGGATAAGCAGCAATATGATATGAACACCATTGTGCTTTTGTTATTACGTGACATTTTTTTTATGGTGCTCATGACTGAGTTGGTTTTTTGATAGTAGAGTCAGATTTTTTTTTCATTCCTTTCTCAATCACTTCTCATTTTCCTTTTTCATTCATGCCTAGCTGACTCAGAATTTAAGCCTCGCCTGGTTTCTTATAAAAAAGACAAATAATTAAATAAAAATAAACCCCACCATAAAGCCNTTTTTTTTTTTTTTTTTTGTTTTCTGATTTCTTTTGAACATCAAAAATAGAATGGTGATTTCTGGCATAGTATTATGTTATACCGTCTATGGCTCTCAGTACTTTGTCATTGTAGAAGAACGAGATAAAATGCGAGTATGTGGGTAAGGTGCAAGTGCAACAGATATGGAAACCTAAATAAAAACGAAACAAAGGTGGGCATTACAAATTTATATTTTTATCGCCTCAACTTGGTTCTTTGCAGAAATGACTGACTGAGGATGCTTAAGTAGGAGTATATTGTTATTTAACGTGGAGATGCTTTTAATGCGATAACTGTAGGCTTGTATAGTTATCGATGAAGCAGCTATGGGATGCTCAGCTATTGAAAAATTGAATAACGGGCTTGAAGTCATCGGTTGGTGATAGTAACATAAAATCCTAGAAAGGATAAACTTGGGAATTTCCCTTGTTCATAGGGGTCCTGAGCATACTGGTTGAATGACAGTGTTGTACGTTTGAGAACTTGATCTTATTAGTGCACCCAAGTTTTTTCTCGGCTCTGGGCTGGATTACTTGTCTACATACCTATGTCCATTTTTTGTACTTCTTCACTTTTTTCAGTAACAAAATGTTTGTTTCTTTCGGGAAAAAATATTGTACGCAAGTTTAAGGCTGAATTGGTAGTGGAGGAGTGGAGCTTAGGGAAAATGGATATTAAGAATCTATTTAAGACCTTGCCCAAACTATGAAGGAACATACCGTGGCAGAACAGTTAATAGTGCTTTTGTTTCTACCTTGTGAGCTCCAAATTGGTTGGACTAGAAACTTTGGATGAGAATCTTGCATTCTGAAGTTTTTTTTTTGGGTAGGAAACAACAAAATATTATTAAAGTGAAAAATTGAAGTAGTACATGAGAGGACAAGAAGTCCTGCATAGATACATAAGGAAAACAGAAAATGAAAATCAAAACAAGTTCAAACCGAAATTTTGAATTCTGATGTTATGCTAGTGATTTATAACATCCTAATATGTGATACACAATATACAAAGTTTAGAGGGATAAGCAGCAATATGATATGAACACCATTGTGCTTTTGTTATTACGTGACATTTTTTTTATGGTGCTCATGACTGAGTTGGTTTTTTGATAGTAGAGTCAGATTTTTTTTTCATTCCTTTCTCAATCACTTCTCATTTTCCTTTTTCATTCATGCCTAGCTGACTCAGAATTTAAGCCTCGCCTGGTTTCTTATAAAAAAGACAAATAATTAAATAAAAATAAACCCCACCATAAAGCCAAAGTCTCTTCCGGTAATAAGAAGAAATTTCAGGACGGCTTTAAAATATGAAACTTTTAGTGAGCCCTTTCAGTTGACATGAAAATGTTGTGCAAAATGTATTGTGGATTGCATTCGATTCCACCCCCAGGATTTTTCCTCTTTTTAGCGATTTTCCCTGGTGGATTTGGCGAAAGAGCACCTATAAATATGTTGCATAGTCCTGTGCGCTTGAGGCTTCTCAATGCGTTATATGATTGAAAAGAGATGCTAGCGTTTTTTGAAGACAAATAATTTGCCCTAGAGGATATCTAGAAGTTAATCGTATTTTCCAATTATTATGGTTTGAAATCAAATTTCCGGGTTGCCTCCTCTGGATGGCAATATGAATTTCAATTTTCTGATGGTTCATGTCCATGCAGTTTGGCTGGCGAGGACTTGGGGAATATAAAGAAGGGATAGGAGACAGTACTTAGTTGTCTTCTTAGCCGGCTATTTGACTCCAATGGAAGACATCCAACCAACTAGTTCAACTGGGTTTAAACAATAGCAATTACTTGAATGGTTTACTATCACGCTTGTTGAGTTGGTTAAAGTGGTTGGATCATACTCTTTCTTTTGATAATAGAGGAACACTAAGGAGTAAGGAGCCACAAATTGCTCCTCCCCCACCTCACCCCAACGTGGACCCCATTCCTCCCATTTTGATTAAGTTGATTAATGAAAAATATGGATGTGTTTATTGTATCATTTTCTTTATTAGGGAATTTTTTTTCACTCATCCTTTGACACTTGCACTGAATTTTTTCTTCATACAGTATTTTTGTTTAATATAAAGTCAGTGATGACAAAGATATGAAGCTCTTTGATATTATGTGGAGGAAATGGTTGTCAGTAGAGCTGAATGGCTAAAAGGTGCTACATCACTAAGCCCAAAGTGGTTAGGGATATAAGGTTTTGTTTGAATGAGTTTGATCATGAATGGAGAGCTATGGAGCTATATTTGCAATGAATATTTTATGTTGTTAATGACTTTGTTTCTGATTTTTCTCCTTGTAACACATGTACCCATCATGTTTTTTGGTTATCATGCACCTTTAGAATCTCGGATAGTATTTATTTTGATTATTTGAGTTGAAGAAAGTGTTGATTTGGTTAGTTCCATAAATTTTGCAGGTTGGGCTACGGGTTTATCTGCTGGTGAATCAGATTGGACTTATGGGTTTTCTTTCTTTACAGTGGTTATCGATCTGACTGATGCTGGCCATGGTCAGTGATTTTGATCTTCTCCTTTGGGTGTTGGTTGGGTAGGAGGGGACAAGAGGTTGTGGGTCATATATTGTAACATTTGACTTTTCTGTCTAGAAAAATTATAGAAAGCTTTAGATTGTTAGATCTTGTCCCACATTGGTAAAATAGTCTCCCCAAACTAGTATATGAGTCTTGTGGGTCTCTTTACATAGTAACAATTGGTTTTGAGTTGCATGTTTTAGCATGGTATCAGAATTGGGCTTCAGGAAGCTTTGGATAAGACTCTTTGTTTTGATTTTATTGAGTTGGTATTGGTTTCCCCTATGTTTGAGCTACAAGTGCACCTAGTTATGTATCCTTGTGGGCCTCTTCATTTATTGTTACTTGGTTTTAAGTTGGAAGCTTTAACATAAATAAGTTTTATTTTATTTGTTCTTACTTGTAAAAATTGTAGACATAACGGTTTTCCTTTACTTAACCGCAGAGCATGTTGAGGATATTGTGGGGCTGCTATTTGAATATATTCGCCTCCTACAACAGTCTGGTGTTTGCAAATGGATATTTGATGAGGTACCACATTATCTTGCAGTGCTCTAACTTGCCTGTGCCACATTACTAGTACTCATTTATATATTGCAGACAATCACAAACGTGGTGTGTGCATTCCATTCGTATATATTGATATCCTTCTGGACATCTGAATTATAAACTCTATATTTGCTATTAATCTATAAATATTTACTAGCAAGTTGATGATTCTATAGGGTTATGAGGCCGATTATCATGGTGGGTTCTTTATGACATGCTTATCCTTTTCCTTTAGGATCCTTCTATTGTTGCTGAAATGATGTTCTTTTTGTAAATGGTTTAAGCAACTAAGTTTTGAGACAAAGAGACTTCGTTTAGACTTGATAAACTTTTTAACTTTTAGGCATACCTCTGAAATCCAACCTCTACCCCCAGCCAGCAGGGCCTGGGAAGAGGTGAAGAAGGATGAATAGAAAAAAACCAGCTTTTGCCCTTGCTGGCTTCCTTTTTTGTTTCTGTACCATAATTATAGTTGTTGTCTGTCTGAGCAAAGAAAGAAAACATTAAAGAAATAAAAGAAAACTATAAATGTAGCTGTAGTTTCCTTTTCAATGGATGTTTTTATACATTTACTTTTAAAAATTCCTAGATTACTGGTTTTCTGGAATTATTGAGCCTTTAAAGAAGTTAAATCATGTGTTCATGTATTAAGGGGTAAGAAATTCCTAGGTATCTGGTATTGGAGAAATAATCGAACTAGTTAAGAATCCTCCTGTATGTGCCTTTTTTGTGGTAGTAATATGTGGGAATGAATTCCTGTTTGAAGGTGGGTCATTAACAAATTTGGAGGTCATGTTATTCGTGATCAGCTAGGAAGTACAAAACTACGGTTACAGATACGAGATACGGGTAAGATACGATACATATATAGAGATATATTAAAACATAAAAAAATAGGATATGGATATAGTTAGGATACATTTATAAAAAATTATATGTTATATTTGTACTATTATGAAAGGGCTTGATGGCTAAAATTTTTAGTGATTCCTTACTGATAATAAACAACATTAGCAATTTTTTACTTTCAGAAAGGTACCTATCGTTTCATTATGTCATTTTGACAGAGTAATGTGATTAATTAAAGGAATAATGTTAAACAACCATCTACTCTAAAAGTTTAAGTTGTTGGAGAGGGTGTAACTTAAGTATTTATACTTCAACAAGCTCCCTTACGCCCCTCACGTGCGGGCTAGATTTTGGGCCTAACATGCAGAAATTTTTTTAATAATTAAGTTGGCAGCAAGATTCGAACACAGGACCTCCTGTTTAGATACCATGTTGAACAATATCTATTTCAAAAGTTTTAACTGTTTTACAGGGTGTAAGTTAAGTATTTATACTTCAACAAATAAGAACCAACATTTGACTAGTTTGGTTACTTAGAAATATTTGTTGTTAAGACTGTAGTGTAATCAACTCATTTATATTTTTTGGACATATAATAGTGGATAATACTTGAAAATTACTTTGTGTATTCAAAGTCCTATAGATTTTTGTTACGTATTGCATTGTATGTGAATTTGAAAGGAGGGAGTAAATATTAAAACTAAAAATTATATATACTTCTCTATATATAGAGAAGTATTTGCAAAGTATCTACATATGTTATTTATTATCAGATACGTTTGGTGCGTACCCCATATGTATCATCGAGTATCCAATGAATGTTATGGCCGAGACGGTATTCAATATGGATACATTGACGTGCTTCATAAATCATTGGTGATCAGAAATCTTCAGGATCTATGGGATTTTTTGAATTTCCTTTGTTTTTTTGTCTATAAAATGTTTTCTAGGGTTGGTCAAGGCATTGACACAAGTTGCAAAACTTACAATGGGGAACGGTCCCTGGTTTCCATCTATTTTTTATTATTATGTAGGCTTATTAATGCCCTTGGGCAATTTAAAAGGATAAAATTCTTGTCCTCATCCTCCATCTCCTCCCAACCCTTCTCCTTTTTTTAGTGTTCTATTTATTTGGATGAAAAATGAATTTGGAAGGTGTGGATTCATAGTAGAACTGGACACGATTCATTGACGATAATTTCTTTGTTTAAAGTAAAAGAATAGTTCCATTGTGCACATCATATGGTCATGATTATAATCACATACCTAATTTGGGCCTTCATTCCTGAATGTGATTGGTTGAGCTTTTCAAGGTGTAGATAATGAAGCAAAAAATTCGTAGAGATGAGCAAAGGTTGAGCTCGTTGGGTCGAAAATGAGCAAGGGTTGAAAAATTTGTACTTATAACCATAGTTGTCAAATAGCGTATCGGAAGGTGTATCGTTTTTTAAAAATATTGTATTGTATCGTGTATCTTGTATCATAAGATACACGCAATTTTAAATAATTATTAATAAAATATATATATACCTTTGTAAAAAGGTTATAAACTCATAATAATATAGCATTTCATTAATATTCTACCAACTATTCAAGTTCTCAACATAGTTCAGTAATATCAAAATGTAAATACCTCTAATTTAAACTTCTAATATCAACTGTTTGAACAACCAAAATATTAATCAGGAATTTTGAATTCAATTGATCAACATTAACAACAAACTTTAATTTTTTTTTAAAATCATAATCACTGAAACGATGTTGTTTCATTGACTAGTAATTTAAAAATAAGTCATTGGGTGAAAAGATGTCATTTCAGCCCCAAAAAAATCAAAAAAAAAATAAAAAAAATTGAATCTTCGCGTATCATATGTATTGGCATAGTTGTTAGTATCATACGATACGTCACGGTACTGGGGTAAAACGATACGGATCGTAGTTTTGTATCGTTTTTGCATTGTATCATCCGATACACGATACGATACGTATCGGTACGATACGCACGATACTTGCAAAGGTTGTTTATTATTATTATTTTTTTTTATAGAACGACGTCGTTTTATGCTAAGAGACTGATTTTTTTATCCCTATAACCACTGAAACGCTGTCATTTCAGTGGCTAGAGTTTACAAAAAAAAATAAAATCCATCTTTTCTTTATTCATTGTTCTCTGGTCTTCGATTCTGGGTGTTCTTCAGCCTTCGATGACGACTCCTGGGTGTTCGCTGGTCTTTGACTCTTGGGTGTTCTTTAGCCTTCGACAACGACTCCTGGGTGTTCTTCAGTCCTCGACTCTTGGGTGTTTTCTGTTCTTCCATCGAAGTTGNGGATCGTAGTTTTGTATCGTTTTTGCATTGTATCATCCGATACACGATACGATACGTATCGGTACGATACGCACGATACTTGCAAAGGTTGTTTATTATTATTATTTTTTTTTATAGAACGACGTCGTTTTATGCTAAGAGACTGATTTTTTTATCCCTATAACCACTGAAACGCTGCCACTTGGCTAGAGTTTACAAAAAAAAATAAAATCCATCTTTTCTTTATTCATTGTTCTCTGGTCTTCGATTCTGGGTGTTCTTCAGCCTTCGATGACGACTCCTGGGTGTTCGCTGGTCTTTGACTCTTGGGTGTTCTTTAGCCTTCGACAACGACTCCTGGGTGTTCTTCAGTCCTCGACTCTTGGGTGTTTTCTGTTCTTCCATCGAAGTTGTTTCATCGAAGTCCAGTCTCCATCGAAGCTGCCTTCTTCTTCTTTCTCCGGTTACTCCATCGAAGCTGCCTGATGATGATGATGCATTTTCAATTGAAATTGAAGATTGAAGATTGAATTCTAAATGGATGTTTAGAAGTTTGGATTAAAAGTCTCTTGGGTGTTTGAAGTTTGAATTAGTGAACTATGATGTGAACTTTGTATTATAATATTAGTGATCTATGTTGATGACTTGAATAGTTGGTGGAGTGTTAATGAAATGCTATATTTTTATGAGTCTATTATTTTTTTTCAAAGGTATGTATATTTTATTATTATTTATTTAAAATTGCGCCGCATCTTACGATACATGATACGATACGATACACTATTTTTAAAAAACAGTACGCTTTTCGATACATGATTTGATAACTATGCACATCGGATTTATCATATCGTATGGTACAGAGACACGATACGTATTTTTTTTCAGGTGTATTGTGGCGTATCGTACGAAACGTATCGCATATTGTACGATACTAATAACTATGCTTACAACTTTAGCCGGTACAAAAGACTTATGACTACAAAGAGAATGATCAGATCAAGTCATTCAGAGATGAGGACATGCTTTTACAGAAGGAATGGGAGTGGTTATATAACCTTGCCACCCGTTGCATCAGTTGTATCCTGTAAAACGCACCAGTTAGTCTAGACTGTCCTGTTAAGAGCATTTAATAATTGGTTTTGCTCTTTACCATATCACGGGGCATGGGAACAAGTGTGGTCAGCTGGAGTGGAAGCCACACCTCGGGGCTGAGAATCTGTGATCCATGCTTAGACCACTGCCAGATACGATCCTACTGCCCCTTTGCACTACCAAGAAAATGTGATTCTTGCCCCATATTTATGGATCCCACTTCATTATTTATCTTTTGAGTTTTGCATGCAGGGGCAATGTTTGTCAAGATTATCTGACGATCAAATTTATTTGATTTGGTGGCTCAGGAATTTCTAAAAGCAATATGCATGTTTGTCCATGGGGCTGACATGCTGTGCTTGTCTCAACTCAGCTCAACAAACTTTTAACCCCAACTGTTTTTGGTCAGTTGCATGGCTACGTCTTCTCCAGTTGGTTGGACACTTTTGACATCATTCAACTTGGTCAGGATTTAATGGGATTTTTTTTTGACTTCTGGTCAACATACTGCCTCCGTTCAAATACACAATAGAGTAATTTATACATGGTTGTTTGATACATAAAAAGAATATATCACACTCCGAAACTTGAGCTAGTTGAGCTGAAGGTTTTTATGGGACGCTAATGCAACTATATAATATAAAGACCTTAAGAAACCCCCTTCTCTTGTGATGTGAGCATTACCAGGGAGGGGAAGAGCTTCTAGGAAAAGAAGTGTCAAGTTGTTTTGTGAGGTGCAGTAGTAAAAGAGTCGGGCTAATAATTATGAGTTTGTGGACTTGATTGTGAGGGCAACTACATTGTGGACATAATGTCAAAGATTAAGCCTATATCTGGTCTACCTCTCCCAACACCCTCAATTAATAGTTATCAAAGTGGATAATGACTCTTTTTGTAGTACAAGATTCTTCTATTGTTTCACGTTTTAAGTTAGGACATCTTTGAAAGTTTAGTTCAGTCTCAAATTTGGTCTCCATATGGGTTTTCCTAGCCTTCTGCATTCGTCCGTTTCCTTTTCTTTGTAATTTATATCCAAGGAATTAATAAATTAAGTTACTTGGGAGTCTATAGTTAATGCTCATGTACCTTGCTTGGGATCCAAGGTGCTTGAACAATATTTTTATTTAATCCCATCAAAGGAACTGTATGGAGTTCGTTTGGGACATCTTTATTGAGTGTTCTCTTATATTCCCCTTAGGGATTAATCTTGTTCGATAGTGTGTGCATTTTTAGCCATTCTTGCTAGAAATATTAGAAACTGCTAAGACTTCAGATACTCAAATTTTCACATATCTTAGAGTGCTTGATCCATCGACTTGAAGAGATTAGATTTCTTTTCTACTTGGCATAGAAATATGACACTATACTCAACTTTTCACAGTTTATCTTACAGTGCTTGATCCATATGACACTATATGGTTCGGTTCCATGGCAGATGAAATATTTTGCAAACTATCGTTATTTGTCTCCAGCACAACGTTGCTGATGGCATGAAGCAAGGTTATTGAAGTGGGTCATCCCAAAAAAAAAGCGGGTCATCCCAAAAAAAAAAGTGGGTCATTCCATTTTTGGGACAATGCATTATAATGTCTTGATGCGTTCTCTGAGAATTAGTGGCATTTTGGATGTGGAGTGGTATGATCCAGAAGGCATTTAACAATTTGGTTTTCTGACTGCTGATGCCTTATCCTGTACTGACTTCTCATGCTGCATGTGTAGTTTCAGAGTTTTCTTTTGGTTGTTTTTTGGTGATTCTAATTCCTTTTTGTTTTTATTTGTCCTTGAAGCTTTCAGCCATTTGTGAGACTGCCTTCCATTATCAGGATAAGATTCCTCCTAGTTATTATGCGGTTAATGTTGCCTCAAATATGCAGGTAGCTAAAATAGTTATGACTTTGTTTTTGCACTGGGAGTAAATTCTGCATGTTATATTAATCTTTTGTACAAAGTACATGTCTTTCTTTCTTGACTAAGCATTTTGTTCATATAAGTCTGCATAAGTTTTATCTGTCTAATATTACAACTAAGAAGTTGAATTCTCAATTTATAAAAGCACAACAACGGTCAAAATTAATCTAATTTTCATCTACTTTAATCCAATGGTATAACATTTATCCCAAAATTTCTTTTCCCGCTCAAAAATATCATTTTCATTACATGACCCCAATGTCAGACAATCCCACCAATTCACACCAATTTAAACAATGTTGTCTGTTCAATGTTTGATTTTTGGTATTGTAAAGTGTCTTAAGACACAGGTTTATTGCTAGGATATTGATATTGCAACCGCAATCGTTCTACAACGGAAAAAACTTGTTGGAATGGATACTATCTGCAGAAGAACATGGAGCATATAGTGGCCACATAATTAGTCAAACAAAGTTTGCTAGGTCTCTTGAGGGGAAGAGTTGCTTTTCAATGGAATTTTTTTCATGAAAATATACAGGTAGTGGGATTTATTTGTTCCCACACACATTCCACTAAAGCTTAATTCATCTTCAGGGTGTTTTTGTCTTCTTGAATAATGTGTAAAATTTGAAGAATTTGGAAACAAGGGATTGTAAATGTGAAAATGAACTTCTTATTCATGTTAATGTTCTTTGTTTGATTCTGTAGACTAAACTGATGTTCATATGAGGTTTGTGAGAAAAGTGAGAGCAACACATGTCATGCTGTGGCATTTATCATATTGTGATGATGGCTCTATTGTAGTTTGGTTGAGGCAATGCCAGGTAATGGATGTGGCAGGTGGGTTAGTTTGACAGTTATTCTAGTGATGGTAACGGCATTGGCATGGTGAAGGTAGTTAGGACATGAAGGCATAGTTGGTAATGAATTCTGAATCTTGGTGGTGGAGGAAGTTGCCGTCATAATGGTGGTGACTAAAATAGCATGGTAATGGAAGTTGTGGTGGTGGTGATTTTATGGTTTCTGTGTGTGTGTGTGTGTGTCCATAGGATTGGTGGTGGTGGTGGCCACGATTGTGCCAAGGAAGTTTTGGTAAAGACGCAAGTTTTGTTGACTGTTACGCCACCAATAGCTGCCTCTCCCCCTCCACCTGAGGCCCTAATTCGTTTGAGTAATTTGATCACAGTTCCTAGTTACATATGGTGATTCTGTTGGAAAATTTCAGAAACTCTTTCGGTGGTTACAACTAGTAAATAGTTGAATGAAATAATGCCCTTAATAAACTCTGGAAAACCAAGATCAAAGAGCTTTTGAACTTTTGAGACCTGACTGAACATAAGGTTTTGCACTCTAGTATCAAATTGAATATAAAATTTTGGGATCTTATGATGAAATGTTGGATTTTCTGTCAATTATAGAAAATTTGATTGCAATTATAAACCCTGAAGAAGGTTGGAATAGATGAGATATTCCTGTTGAAACTAAATTTAATTGAAGCTGTAGCATTGAATCGACAGGGTATATATGCATGCTCTCTTTTTTTGTTTTTTTATATGTATATATATGCATGCTCTAGCACTCCATTGCTGCGTGTAAGATGAATACACTGTGTACTTTTACGAGCTTGTTCTAGTACAGCAAACTTCAAAAGGAGTGTTGGAGCATACATATACTTTCAACTTAAACTTTCTGTGTGTGACATCTGTTCTTGACATGCAGGTTATTTTAGACAAGTACAGACTTTATATTGTGATTTTATTCAATTGATGTAGGTTTCTCTTTGATTCAATATTGAACCCTGAATTTCAATGCATAACAACTTGAGGTTTCATGATAGTTATGAAATGATTTGAGATCTCCAATTTACACATTTGGTAAGATATTTGATGCGCACAATGCAGTCTCAATTGGTGGACATGATGTGTTTTGTATCGTTGACTTCCAATAAATGGTGGTCCTGAATTTGTGACTTCTTTGGGTTTCTTTGTGAAGAAAACTGAGAAGATTGGCTGTTTTGAGAAGAAAAAATTATAGTATTACTATTGAAGCAATGCCACCATATTGTTTCAAAAGGGAATCCAAATCTTTCATTGACATCAAGTTACTGAACTGATTCCCAGAAGGAGAAACAAAAGAAAAAGGGGGGGGGGGGGGT